CTGTCCCGTCCCGGCAGCCACCTCCACCTGACTGCATCCAAACCACCCCGTCCCCGAGCCGGCGCCCTGGGTCCCTCACCTTCGGGCACTTGGACAGTGGCTTCCTCCAATTGGAATGTGCCCCTGCCCAACATGCCCGTGCGCCCCCGTCCACACGTGCACACACACGTGTGCCTCCTGGCTTCCTGCCCTTTCTGCTGGGAGCCTGCCTGGCTGTGGAGACAGTGGGGCCCGCGCGGTAGTAAAACGCCGGGAAGAAACCGCACTGGAAAGATGTCTGAGTGCTTGCTTACGGGCCCGGGCTTGCAGGAGGGATGCAGGACCGACGACCTCCACGGAAAGGCTGCAGACGCTTCCACGAGCACGGGGGCGACGCTCTAACGAAACTCAGGTAAGTCTGATGCTGGCCAAAATCTCAAGCACCTGAAATAATGGACCCGAGGAGGCATGTTCGCTCTATCCTGAGTCATGGAGGTGTAAGTTCTGTCTGAAATAGGACTTTTTTTGGAAATTCTGATCTAGAAAACAACAGCCAACAAGTTCATTTATTTAGTTTTGTTTTGATTTTTAAAAATGTTTTATTTATTTCTGAGAGAGAGAGAGAGAGAGAGAGACAGTGTGAGCAAGGGAGGGTCAGAGAGAGAGGGAGACACAGAATCCGAAGCCGCTCCAGGCTCTGAGCTGTCAGCACAGACCCCGATGCGGGGCTCGAACCCACGAACCGTGAGATCATGACCTGCGCCGAAGTCAGACCCTTAACTGACTGAGCCCCCCAGGCGCCCCAGTTTTGTTTTGTTTTGTTTTGTTTTTTGAGTGGGCTGTACACCCAGTGCGGGACTTGAACTGATGACCCTGAAATCATGACCTGAGCTGAGATCAAGCATCAGGTGCTTAACCGACCGAGCCACCCAGGCGCCCCAACACTTTCTTTAAACAACAGGCAGGCTAGAAGCTCATGCCCTGGGACCCCCAGCCTCCTCCCCGGCTCCCGCCCCGCCCTGCCTCCCCATCCCTGCCGCTGGCCACGGTGCCGGGCCACTACCCGTGGGCTGTCTCTCTCTGTCACCAGCCGCAGCTGCTGCCCCGCTCAGGGCTCAGGGCGTTTTTTGCCTGGTGAGCAGACGAGGGCCCAGCTGCGCAAACAGCGAGGGTCTGACTGCGGCCTCAGTCCTTCTGCTCCTGCTGGTAGCTCGTGTGCAGGGCCGGGGCGCACCTCGGGGGGGCGGGGGCGGGCCCACCCTCCACAGGGAAGGCTGTGAGGACCCACCCACGCAGGGGCTGTGAAGAGACCCAGGCTGGGCTGCAGGGGTGGGACCAGGGAGGGCTTGGCGGGCAGGGAGGGCGAGGCTCTGACATCCCGGCACCGGGCAGCCCCTGGCTGCAGCCGCGTGGGGAGGCCCGGCCGCCACACCAAGGCTCCTGGGGACAGAGGCCGAGCAGAGCCTCTGAGTACAGTCTGGCTGCAGCTGCTGGAGAATTTGCAGGAACCCCTTCTGGAGGGCTTGGGGGGCTCCTCCCAGGGAGTCCGGGGAGGCTGTGGCCGCCCCAGCTGGGGCCCTGGAAGGGTGGGCTCACAGCGCCCAGGTGACCCCAGGAGTCACCTCTGCTAACTGACATGTGGTCGAGACAGGCCACGGCGGGCCAGGCTGGCCGGGCACTCTGCGGATGGGCACACGGGCAGGCCAGGGCACCTGTACGTCTGGAGATCGGGGGCTCCCGTGGCCCCCTTCTCAGACTCCAGTTTCCCAGAACGGCACACAGAATTCAGGAAAGGGCTCCCTGACTGTTACCGATTTATTTAAGGACGCGGTCAGGAACAGCCGCAGGGAGGCGCGTGTGCAGGCGGCCAGGTGCCGGGAAGGGGCGCCGGGAAGGGGCGCCGAGCGTCCATGCCCCGTCTGGGTGGCCCCCCTCCTGCCACCAGCACCCGCTCACCAGCCAAGCCCGGCGGCTCGGGGCCTGTCCGGGGATCCCGCTGGGCGGGCGTGGGCGATGTCACGGCTGGCCACTGGTGAGTCACTGAGTCCCCCGCCCTCTCCCCTCCCCAGGGTTCTCAGCACGCCTGGCCTCCCGGGGGCCCGTCTCTGTCCAGAAGCCACCAGTCACTGCGGGAACACACCCGGGACACTCACCACTTCAGAGACGCCAGGGGTTTAGGAAATGTGTGCCAGGAACTGGACAAAAGCCCAATGTTCGATCTAAATGACATCACTGGCCACCCCTTGGCCTTTGGCTGGGTCCCTTAGAGCAACATGATCATAAAAGTCCGAAGCACACGACTACACCTGGTCGGGCGGCTGTCACACCCCCAGAGGGTGTCTGCAGGCTCCGAAGGCAGGAGTGCGTGTGGCCATACGTGGCTGCAAAGTTTCAGGCTTTGGAAGGAACCTGAGCCCGGCCTCCTTCGGGCCGTGATGGGGAGCGCCTGCCCTCCGTCCACTGCTGTTCCCATGAGGACCGGGCTGCCCAGCCACGCGGCAGCCCCGCCTGCTGGAGGGCGTGAAGGCTTGGCCACCCGTCAGGCCTCGGGAATGGCCCACGCGGGGATTAAAGACCTCACTACCGTCTCCTCTTGGGGGAGCACCCTGCTTCTGGCCCCGGAGGCTGCCCCTGGGCTCGTGACCGCTGCTTCCAGGGGGAAAGCAAACGGGGTGGGTCTGGGCAAGAACAGAAAACTCCACCGTCCCCCAGCGCCCCTTCCCCCACCCACGGGCTGTACCCACTGGAGCTGAGTGTGAGCACACAAGTGTGCAGGCCCTGGCGCATCAGACAAGCACCGCCTCCGCTGCCCAGTCCACGTCTCTGCCACGCTGGTCCCGAGGGGCGCCCGCCACCCGCCCACCGCTGGACACTCCGTGGAGCGAGATCCTTGGCCTGAAGACACGGTCGGGGCGCCATCTCCCGCTTCTTTTCAGCACCCGGGACGCCTCCATCACGGGTCAGCGAGGCCCTGCCGGGAGTCAGTGCCCCCTCCTGTCACGACCCCCGGGACCTCGGGTGCGGCCTCACACCTCTCACCAGCCGTGCTCAGGCCCTGCCTGCCAGGGCCCGGCCCCTCTGCCCCCTGTGCTCGGGGGTGGCTCTTCCTGGCACCCGCTGCCCTGGGGGGGGGCTCCAGGAGCGTGCCTGGACCCCGCCCGCTCCACACTGGCGCCCTGCCCCTGCTCCGTCCACTCCGCCTCGGGGAGCCCTTGGGGACGTCTCCTTCCTAACCTGCAAGGCGTCCTTCTGAGGGCCATTGACGCGTCCTGTCCTGCTCCAGTTCCCACGGGCTGGGCCCCATTCGAGCCCCCAGCAGCAGGCCCGCCTCCACCCCCCCCACTTCCGGGCCCGCCCTCGGCGCTGGGCTCTGGGAAAGCCCCATGTGGGTCAGCCCTGGGCTCTGTCACCTCCCTCCCTCAGCACCCGGCCCTCCCAACAGGACAGCCGGCGACTCGGGTCACAGGGCGGAGGGCAGCGTCCCAGCGGCACTGCTCGAGGGGCACGGTTGTGTGCCTGGTGTTTGACGGTCGCGGGAGGGGCCACCCCCGGCGGCCCCCGTGTCCACCCCAGAGCCCCGTCCGGGAGAAGACACACCTCACCCGACACCTGCTCACACCAGCTGTCGGGACCCTCACCAGGGGGTTGGGCCCGCCTTGCATGGGGCTCCTGGTCAGGGAGGCCTGGGGACTCTTCACCTCAGTGAGGGTGGAGCCCAGGCACCCCCTGCCCCTCAAACTTTATCTGGAGTGGGAACCTCATCATCGCCCCCAGGCACCCCCGGCTCTATTTTCTCTAATGATCTGTGTCTTCCTGCTTCTTCCTCACGCCCCTCCAAACTGGGACAGACAGGCCAGTGCTGGGGACACTGCCCTGACGGGTGACCAGCACGCTGCTCGGGCCCTCGCAGCCTTCATGGTGCTATATTAAGGCCTTTGTTCTGTCCCGCTGATCTGATTCTCTCTCTCTCTTTCTTTCTTTTTAATGTTTATTTTGAGAGAGAGAGAGAAAGCAGGAGAGGGGCAGAGAGAGAGGGAGACACAGAATCTGAAACAGGCTCCAGGCTCCGAGCTGTCAGCACAGAGCCCGACGCGGGGCTCGAACCCATGAGCTGTGAGATCGTGACCTGAGCCCAAGTCGGACGCTCAACCGACGGACCCAGACAGGTGCCCCGGTTGACTTACTAATAACGGTCTGGACGTTCCCGTGCTGCTAAGTTCCTTGTTTACACAGTTTAACTACATCCCCTTCTCCTTCCCTCTTTCCACAGCCGTCGTGCAGAGGACAACTTGCTGGTTGTTACCTTTCAACACTCTTTGCAGGGCGCCCGGGGCTCAGTCAGTTGAGCATCCGGCTCAGACATGGACTCACGGTTTGTGAGTTCAAGTCCCGCGCCAGGCTCTATGCTGATAAGGGCGGAACCCATCTGGGGTTCTCTCTCTCTCTCTCCCTCTGGCCCTCCCCCGCTCTCTCTCAAAAATCAATTATAAAATTGTAAAATATATTTTGTAAGTGTAGAGTGACAAGCTGAACTGAACGGGACCAGTGACAAGCTGAACTGAACGTGCATGGCCAGAGACCCTGGGCTGTCCCTGAATGCAGGACCCAGGGGACCCTGGGCTGTCCTCGCCTGGGGACAAACTCTTCCGCCGAAGGAGGCTCTACATGAGGTGGGAACTCGCTCCCCCCCGGAAGTGCGTGGGGGGGGCGCGGGTGCAGGGGAGACGTGAGGGGACCACGGCGGGTGTGGTCAGGTGCTCACCGTCCCGCCCGTCCTGTCCCCACAGAGCGGCTCTTCCCATTTTGGAGGACCCTCCCCTTTGTTGGTCGTGGTGGGGGCTGGCCTGACCTCCCCAGAAGGAGGTTAAACGGCCCCGACGCCCCTTTCTCCTCGGTCAGCTCTGCCAGGGGCCTCGGACTGGACTGGGCCCATCCGGGTTTCCATGCGGGACTTCAGATTCCGAGTGAGGGGTGGCCCTCCTCAGGGGCGTTTGGACAGAACTGAGAGAGGAAGTTGGGTGTCCAGCAGGAGCGGCCTGGAACCCAGGAGGTCTGCGGTGCCCTCCTGCACCCCCAGAAGTCTCGCCTTTGGCCCTGGCGCCTGTGAACACCCCACCAGAAGTGTGGGGTTTCCACCAGAGACTCGAGGTTCCCAGGGGACCTCCCGCAGCCACGGGAGCCCTTGCAGGTAGTGAGCTCCCCGGCGGGAGGGAGGGGAAGCCAGGAGGTCTCAGCACGAGGGGACGGGCTTGCCTGCTGACTTGGAGGTGAAGGCCCCACATGAGAAGGAACGGGGTGGTCTGCTGACGTGCGGCAAGGAGGGGGCCTGGTCCTCCAGCCACATGGACCTGTGTCCCACCACCAGCCGCACTGAGCGTGGAAGCGGGGGGGTCCCCGGAGCCTGCGGCCTGTGGGGAGCCCGGCCGGGCTCGGCCCAGGGCTCTGACCTCATGAGAGCACGCAGAGCGTCCAGCCAAGCCTGCCTGTGGCTTCTCTGCTCTGACCACTCCCCAGCCTGTCCCACAAGTCCATGAGTGACCTCTGGTCCCCTTGTCTGCGGAAAGGGACCATGCCTCTTCCTTCCCTGTCCCTCCGCGCTGTGGCAGGAGACACCTCACGTCCCCCTCGGAAGGCTCAGCTCGGGCGGACTCAGCCTCTGTGGGCAGACAGGTGGCCGGACAGGTGGTTGAAGCAGTGTCTGCCGGTCCCAGAGGAGCCCAGGGTCCCCCCGAGGGCCCGCTCGCTCCCAGGCACCCAGGCGGCCATCGAGAACGTCCGCTTCGGTCGGGCGCCGGAGCGTGGGCCCCCCTGGGAGCGTCTGAAGAAGCTGGGCTCCTGGGGCCGGCAGCCACAGGCTCTGAGAAGCAGAGGGGACTGTGAGGCTGTTCTAGAACGCACCGGGCGGGGCAGGAGGCCTGCGCAGGGAGGGGCCGGGGTGAGCGGCTGGGCTGGTGAACACCGAGGCACCAGGAGGGGCTTCGTGGCTGCTGAGTGTGGGTCCTCCCTGTGCTTGTTCATGGGGAGCCCTGGGGCCCGGGACTGATTCGGGGCCCAGAAGCACCCTTCCCCAGCGGTCGGCGCAGATAACACTTGTGAGGTCGGGTCTCCGTGAGGAGTGGGGTGAAGAGAGGGGCATCCCTGTGGGGCTGGCCTGGCAGCTCTCTGGCTGCCCCGCTCCCTCGGCGTGGCCAGCCACCCCAAAGCGCCTGCCCTAGAGGGCAGCCTGGGCTATTGGTCCAGGGGTCCCAGCGGCGGGGGGTGGGGGGAGCGGCAGGGACGTCCCGGGGGTAGGGAGGGACAGCGCCCTCTGGCCCGTGGGCACCCAGATGCCTCCAGGTGCCGCTGTCTGCCCTTGGGGGATGAGGAGGGGCGGGCGGGCGGGGCCTACCTGCGGCTCAGGGTGTATTTGCCCCTGCGGTCCAGGCTGCAGCCAGAGCGAATGGCGAACCAGAGAAAGGAGCTGAGCACCATGGCGTACACCTGGGGGGAGGGGGTGTCAGCACCGGCCCGGCGGCTCTGGCGGGGGGTGTGGGCTGCGCAGGGCTCCCTCCTGTCTCGGGAGATGGGCACCGTCACCCCCCAGACGGCCTCCCGGGGTCAGCAGCCTCCTCCCTGGTCCCCTGTGCACGGGCCTGGAGACTGGCCCGGGGCTGCCCCGTCTGCCCGTGCACTGGGGTGGGGGTCCTGTGGATGCAGGGGCAGGAGAGGCAGGGGTGCCGAGGCAGTGCGAGTGTACCATGGAGGCCAGACCGATGCCAGTGAGGGTGGAGGTGATGTGTCCGTACGTCCTCAGGAAGCTCCTGATCCCCACCAGGCAGTCCTGAGCAGAGCAACTCATGAGGCGGCCGCCCGCACTGCCCCTCCCCTGCCCAGGGTCAAGGGCCTCCGCCAAGGCAGGCACCCATGGTGCCCAGCTAAGCCGAGTGCTGGGGTGATGGGGAGTCAGCGGGGCCGGGGAGCTCTGGGGAGAGGCATCACAAACGGCGGAAAACCAGCAAGAGGGGGGACTGGAGGCCGCTGCCCCAGGGTCCAGCGCGTGCCTTTCTTAGGCGTCCCCTCGGCCTGTGCGGGGTCATGCATCTGGCTGCCGTGGGCAGGCTGGCTCTCCCTTGCTCCCTGGCCCAGGGCTGGGGGCAGAGCCTCAGTGAGGGGGGGGCCGGGGGGCTGGCAAACGGGAGGGGCAGGGAAGGCGCTGGTGCAGAGGCCTGGGGTCCTGGGCTGTACCAGCCTCCATGCGCCATCCCCGGCACCCAGTGCCTCCCCGGCGCAGGCGCACGGCTTCCGCAGAGGCTCTCTCTCCAGGAAAAGGGAGGTGACCGTCCCATCTCTGAACCACTCACATGGCGGCGTTTGGTTTTGGGGAAGATATTGGCATTTGGGGAAGCTGGGGAAAAGGAAGCACATTGGGGAGGTTGCTCCGAAGGCTGGGAGGGGGGCGGGGAGGCCCGCCTGCGGTCTGTGCGTCTGTATGTTCACTGGGCCCACGCTGCCACCTGGGCCTCGGCCCTGGCTGGAGCGCCGCCCCTGCTCACCCCTGGGCCGCAGGACCGACTTCGGCGGGGAGGCTGGGACCTCTGGGCCGCGACCCTGCAGCTGGCCTGGGTGCCCGGGGGTGTGGGGGGAGGGGACTGGGCCCTGATGGGCTCTCCCTGCCCTTGTGGCCGTACTTCCTGTCAGAAGGCAGCCTGGGGCCCAGACCACCAGCCAGGACTCAGCCCAGCCCCTCCCCGCCCTCTCCCAGGGCTGCTCCAGCCCACGCCCACCCCGAGCCCTTTACGGTGGGGTGCGGACCCCGCCATCCTGCAAGGTCGCAAAGTGGGCCCTCACCCAGCTTTGTGGACGGGCACCTGAAGCCTCTCCCTGGGTGGCAGGAAGCCCCCTGCCGGCCCGCTGGGCCCTCTGCCTTCGCCCCTACCCTGCACGCCGCCCAATGGCGCTGTCTTGGCTCCCTCCCTCGCTGGGCCTGGAGCCATTTGCATCCTCCTGTCTGTTTCCTGGAGGGCGGCCAGGAGCCTCTGGCCCACAGATAGGGGTGGGTTTGTTTCCCGGACATGGGGGGAGGGGAGCAGGGAAGGCGGGTGGGCTGGGGGAGGGCTGGTGGGGTGGTCGGAGGGAGGGCCAGCTCCCTGTCTGGGGAGGAAGGGACTTCCCAGCTTCTGTTGCTGAAGCCCTTGGGTGGGCTGACTGTGGCCAGGCCCACCCTCCCCGTGCATCCCTCCAAGAACGCCCTTCCGGCTCCTTGGGGAGGAGCCCCCTCCAGATCAGTGTCTGTCTTCCACCACCCTCTGTGCTTCTGGAGGTTTCCGAGGGCAGGCCTGGCCTTGGGGAGCCCCGAGCTGAAACTGTGCGAGGCGGTGGAGGGGTGAATGGAGCCTGGGGCCGAGTCCGGCCCTCACTGTCCTGTCCAGGAGCCCTGCAGCCGGCCGGCGGCCCGGGCCCGGGGAGGGAGAGCCCGGGTCCCCACACTCCTCCTCACCTGTCTGGCCGCCGCCTCTCCTGGACACAGACTGACCTCCGCGCCCCCCAGGAGGCCAAAAGGAGAGCTCTTCCCACAGCACAGGAACTGCAAGGGCACAGAGGGGCGGGTTTGCTCTGCGGGGGTGGGGAGACCGGGCCCCTGTCTGGGGGGGCAGCCCTGTCAGAGGAGGTCCCCTAAGAGACGGCTGCAAGTGGCCCTCCTGGGGGATGGCACCCGCGCCCAGCCCAGCTTCTCGGCCGCCTGTGACCCTGTGGCCACCGGGGCCTGCTTCAAGCTGTGCCGTCACCAACTCGAAATCCTCCGTGATTCGTTACAAGAAGCCTTCCGCATTCTGCCTCGGGCCCCCCCACAAATTAGGTAGCCAGCCCTGCCCAGGGCGGAGGGAGAAGACGAGGTCTTTGTCCGCCCCTCCCCACGACCAAGAGGGTGTCGGTGGCCTGTGGCCCGGGCCCCCGGCCCCGCGGGACTCCAGGAAGGCACCCTCTACCCATTCTCTAGGGCGCCCGACTCACCGCGTCCTGAATGGCCACCAGCTGCTGCTGCCGGGCGCCGGGCGCGCCCCTCACCGCCTGGTCAAACGCCAGGTCGTAGGCGTCCAAGGCGGCGTCCTCCACCTGCACAGAGGGCATCTCAGGAAGGCAAGGCCTCTGTGCCGGCGAAGCCCCTTCCCGACACGGTGCGGCTCCCTGCAGGCGGGAGGGGGGCCATGTGCCTTCCAAACAGCCCCTCCTGCTTCCGGCAGGCACAGCCCCTGTGAGGTCTCCCGGGAGGCGGGTCACCAGTTCCCGCAGGCTTCAGCGGGGGGCTCTCTCCCCACAGGCCGCGAATGCCACAGCCCTGCTCTGGGGACCGGGGCCTGCAAGGCAAGCCAGAGCCCCGCTCACCTCCAGCTCTGAACTTCCGGAGCGTAGAGGGCCTGGCCGAGGGAAGTGCCCCCCCTACTTCTGTGGATCTGAAGTGGGGGTGGGACAGGGAAGGCTGGCAGCCAGGCCCGGGCAGAGAAGGCTGGGAGGAGCCTCCTGCCAGGAGCTCAGCTCCCCGGTGGCCTAGGTCCCTCCCCAGAACCGCCTGCTGGGTTCTGTAAAGCGCGGGCAGCTGGGCTCCGGGGAAGGCCTTCGACCAAAGAAGCCATGGGCATCCAGGGCCGGCTCTGAGCAGACGAGGCAGATAATGGAGAAGGAAGGTGTGGACAGGGGCCTGGCCGGGCTCTGTCTTCACTTCACACCCCAGCATCACCCAGGCCTCATTGCCTCCACGCTCCTAAGCACTTCCTTCTGCCTCTGCTCAGCTATTCCCCCCAAGCCTAAATGCCCACCCCTTGCCAAATTAGTCCTTCAAAGACAAACTGGAATCTCACCTCCGCCAGGAAGGCTTCCCTGACTGCTCTGGAGTCCATAGTCTCCTGGGCCCCGGGCTAGAGCGCAGGCGTCAGGCTGGCCTGACTGCAGCAGGGCCTGGCTAGTGGCCCTCTCTGCCTCTGTCTCCAGGTATAAAGTAAAGGGGAGCCCCTGAAGCCACTGTGTCCTCAGGGGAGGGCGTCCCCGTGGGTCTGGGGGCCTAGGTCAGGGGGCAAGTGGCTGAGGCAAGGACCGCCCTCCTGGTTGCCTCCCCCGCTAGGGCCCAGGGAGTAGCCAGGTGGCCCGCGGCCAGCTCCCGCGATTGTAATCTTGGCAGAGGAAGGGCACGTGCGGAGCGGGCATCGTCCCCACGACCCAGAAGCGGGAGGCAGGAGCCCGTGCTTCGGGCAAAGCCACGCCCCTCACCCCAGACCCCAGGGCCTGGCAGTGGGGGGTCTCTTCCCACAGGCCTGGGAGTCTGCCCCCATTACTGGGTTTGGGGGTGCTCGGGGAGCCTGGGGCCTTGTTTCTCCATGAGAGAAGAAACATGGGGTGAACCAGGTGGCCTCAGAGGCCTCTGTACTTCCTGCCAGGGTCCCCCCTCCTTGAGCCTGGCCACCAGGACCCCAGGGGTGACCCCTAGGATGGGTTGGAGCCACGGGGGCAGAGGGGATCTTGGGCTCCCTGAACTCTCAGCCCCCCAGATTCCCACCTGGCCACGGGGGGGTGTGACCCCAAATGATACTGACAGGGGTGCTGTCCAGGGTAAACCCCAGGCAGGGAAGGGCAAAGGGCACTGGCTCAGGGCAAAGTGTCCTGGACGGCGACCTCTGGGCCTGAGTAGCTCCTCTACAGAGCAAGCACGTGACCATCACACCTGGCCTTGACCCAGCCCCCTCCACCTGAGGGCCGCGTGAGGGAGAAACCAGAGAAGGTGAGCGCACACCTAACAGCACACAGTGCGGGCCAGGCCCGTCTCCTGACCCAGCTGCCCCTGTGCCCCTCTGCCTCCTGCGTGACCGTCTTCGGGGGGCGGCAGAGACGCTGGGGGCACTGGGACTCGATGCAGGGGCAAGAAATCACGGCTTGTCACCTGCTGCCTGCACGGTGTGTTGCCAGAAACCGAGTAAATTCCAGCCAGACGGGCCTCATTTGCCTGGGAGCACATGGAGAAACTGAGGCCAGGGAGAGCAGGGATCGCAGAAAGTCAGGGCAGACAGGGCCTACGCAGCAGAACTGTCCCGTCCTGTCCCTGTGTGCGCCCCCCCCCCCCCCCCCCCCCCCCCCCCCCCCCCGCTGGCCCCTGGGCTGCTCAGGCTGCTCCAGAGGCCCTGAGCCTCTTGGGTGCCCATTTCCCTGCCCAGACAGTGGGCCTGCCCTGCTCCGGGACGGGGCCCCATTCCCCGGGCAGACTCTCAGCTCCATCTCAGCCCTGGATTCAGACAGGCTTTCTGCAGGGCCTGTGCCCCAGGGGCTCCCCCCAAGCTGGGGTCCTGCCCTGCTCCCCTGGGTCAGCGCCCAGGCCTGCCGGCTTCGAGCCTGCCTCATGTATGCCCTCTGGGGGCCGTGGCCCTGGCGACTGAGTTATCCCAGAGCTGGGGCCTCCCCAACTCCCAGACTGGGACGGGGCCCCCACACCCGGAGTCCGTCCACACCCCGCTGAGGCAGCAGGCACACACAGAACAGCAGTGGAGGGACGACAGACGTGGGAAGGAAGGAGCGTCCCCACCATCCCCAGGGGCGTCACCGCCCCGCCCCCCACCAACACGCAAGCCCTGGGGAAGAGCCCACCCCGGAAGTGCCACCTGGAGGACAGCCCTGCCCCTCCACAGCCCGCCCCCCGCCGCCCCTGCTCCGGGGCTGAAGGGCGGCTGTCACCTGGGGATAAGGCCCGGACACCGGCAGGGCCACTGGGCCAGTTTCCGGAACACGGACCCGTCTAGTCAATCCCTCAGGTCAGCCCCCCCCATTCTCCTCTCCCCCTTTCCAACTCACGGCCCCTTAGGGCCTGGGGGGTTCCGAGGCCCGTACCGGAGAGCTGCTGCTTCGTGGCGAGGGCAGGGCGGGCACTCACCTGGGTGGGGCTGTGGAATCTCCAGAAGGCCACCTGCCCAAGGGCGCAGAACACCAGGGCGAAGCACAGGAAGCCCTGGGCGGAGGGGACACTGTCACCCTGTGCCACCTGACGGCCGCCTCGAGGCTGCACCGGGGCCCTCGTGCACGGGGCGCGAGGCCAAGGGCGAGACCTCGGGCTGCGGGCACACTGTTCCCAGCCCTTCTGTCTCGTTCGGGGAATTATTGCTCGTTCTGGCTCGCGGGGGCCCGTCCGTGGCAGAGCCACGTCCCCCCACCCCGAGGGAGGGAGCAGCCCCCAGGATGGTGGAAACCCCTGCCCGTGGGCTGCCTCCAGGGGCGGGCGCTGAGCGGAGTGGGGATCCGGGAGAAGACACGTCCCCTTTTGAGGAGGTCAGTCGGGCGGAGCGGCTCCAGGGCTGCCCTGGCACAGGGGTGGGGGTGGGGGGCTTCTGCAGGCCCCTTTGTTTCTGCATGTTTCTGGAACATGCTTCAGGGTGAAGCCCCAGCCTCTGCAACTGGGCCTCCATGGTTCTGGCTGGAAGGAGCTAGGGCAGCTGGGGCTCCCCGAGGCAGGGGGAGTCCAGCCGAGGCCCCTCCTCTCCTCGCTCCCTGGGGTCCCAGCGTCGGAGGAGGCCGAGTTCTCTGGGGGGAAGGTCCTTCCATCATCAGCCCCCACGTTCTCTGGCCCGGGGGTCTGGAATTGTGGGGCCCCCGGTTTGCAGAGGCCCCTCCCCTGAGACGTGTGCCTGACCCGAGCTTTCGTGGGCAGCTTCAGAGGGTCACCCCAGACTGGGAACCTGGCCTACACGCCGCCCCGGGGACGTCACCCCCACCCGGAGCTTGACTGACCCCTGCGTTTGGTGACCCTCAGACCTGGGCCTCGGGCCTGGTCTCCTCGAGTCCCCGGCAGTTTAGCCGGCCGCGGGCCACACGGCCCAGGTGCCGAAGGGGGCCTGGGGCGGGTGCGCCACCTCCTCCCCCCTCGCCCCACTGCCTTTGTGAGCGCCCCGCGGCTCCAGGGCTCCGTGCGGGGCGTCGCTGGCTCCGCCGACACATGGGCCCTCCCTGGGCCGTCCGCAGCCCGCAGCGGACTGTGGCCGGGGCCTCCCACCCAGCGGCCGCCTCGCTACGGGTGACACCCAGGAGAGCCGGCGGCCAGTGGATGGAGAGATGCCCGCAGACACAGACACGCTGGCCGGGCCGCCTGGGGACGGAGAAACCGTCCCCCCAGGGCCTCCACCAGGCGCTGGGCGAGAGCAGGCCACCCCCCAGGCCCCAGACTTGGCAGGAGCCCAGGGGCCTCTGGCTGTGCCCCGGGGTGGGGGGCGGGCAGGCAGCCCCCTGCTGCCTCCCCCTCCTCCTCATCTTCCCCCTCCTCCTCATCTTCCTCCTCCCCCTCCCTCCCCCTCTCCCCTCCGCCTCCCCCTCCCGACTGGCTGAAGGCCTCCTTCTCCATCTGGAAAGCATCGCTCAGCACCGCCTCCCGGGCTGGAGGCCGGGAGCCAGCTCAGGGGACCAGCACTTTCCAGAGATCGCTTCGCCCTCAGGAGCGAGCACGTCCCGTCCCTCCGTCCCCCGCCCGCCCCAGGCCCGCGCCCGGCCTTTGCCTTCTCCTAAACAAGCCGCTCTAGCGGCGGAGAGCTGGCTCGTTTCCTGCTGAGAGGCCTGCGCGGGGCGAGGCCGGAGGAGGCGGGGGCGGGAAGGGGCGGGGGGGGGGGCAGCCGGGAAGCGTCCCCCGCTTGCTGGTCCCCCACATGCGCTGCTCCAGGCACCACGCCTGAAGGTGCAGGCGCAGGGGCGGCTCCCGGGCGCGGCCCTCGGGGGCCCGGGGTGGGCGCGGGGTGCCGCGGGCGGCTGTTGAGGCGGCCCCCGAGCTCCCGACCGCTGCCCGCAGGCCTGGGCCCGGAAGAGCAGCCGGGGCTGGGGACGCCTGGGTCGGATGCCCGGAGTGTGAACTGCGGGAATAGAGCGCCTTCCGCCTCGTAAAGCTTCACCGCTTCAGCCCTGCACCATGGCGCCCCCTGGCGGCCTCTCCCGGCGAGCCCCAGCCTTAGAGCTCCGCTCTGGGGGGACAAGCCACCTGCCTGTCAGCTCCCTGAGCCGGCACCCCCCCCCCCCGGGCTGCTGGCCACCCAGATGGACTGCACACGCCAGCGCCCCGGGGCCCCCTCACGCCAGCCCCGCCTACCAGCCAGTGGGGTCCCGGCGCCCCCCGAACAGCCCCCCCACCCCCGGGACCGCAGCTTCAGATGACTGTGTCCCTACAAACCAGAAGTCATCCCACAAACAGCTGACACAGCTGGGTGGAGAGCCCTGGCGGCCTCCGTGAGGCCGGGGTGGTTGCCCCCCTCCCCCCGCCCCCCAATCCCGCCCAGGGTGGGGGCGGGGTCTGCCGGAGGAGAGGGCTGGAGGGGGTGAGGGAGGCCTGGGGGCCGTGGGGCTGCAGGGAGCCTGTGAGGTGGGAGAATGGAAGGGACCCCCAGTTTAGGAAGGCTCCGTGTCTGCGCCCCAGTTACCCTGGCTCTGTAGCCCCCTTACGTCTGAGTAACCCAAAGGAGCCACGTTCTCGCTCCAAGGGGGGCAAGAATCTTCGTCACTCTCCCACTTTGGTCCCAGGCCCCGAGCACCTGATAGCGTCTCGGAAGAACAGAATCCCGGTGCATTCCTGGACATGAGCCTACGACACGCCGGGCGGCACCGGCTTGGGTACCCCCTGCCCTCGCACGTGCGTCACCTGTCACTCACCTTGACTAGACCCTCCCCTGGATTCCTGAGGAAACACGCCCCCCGGCCCCCTTTCCACTGTAAACGCCAAGTGAGGAGGGACTCCTTTCCTTTCCCAGACTCCCAGACGCTTGACCGCATTCAGTAAGCTGTTTCCACTTTGTCCCGCTCGCCTCTGACTTCTGTCCTGCGAGGAGCGGCGGGCCCTCTTGGCTGGGTCTGCGGGACCCCCTCTGGGTCCTTGGGCCCAGCCTACTTCTGGCAACTGGACTTTGCCGAGCGGGCCCGCAGGGAAGGGGAAGGGGGGGCATGTGCCAGTGGCAGAGGGGGTGGGGGAGCAGGTGACAGCCCAGGGCACCTGTGAGCCCAGGGTCCCTCAGGAGAGGAGGGCTCGCACCGGAGGGCACAGGATGGACGGGCCTACGGGCGATCTGGCCAGCAGAGGGGCGGTGGGTGGCACACCCCTGCCTCCCCTCGTAACGGGACACGGAGGCCGGTTCCCAGAGCCTCCAGTGTAACAGAACCAGACCCACTGGGCCCTTGACAAGGGCTCCCAGGCCTGGGAGGGCCGACTCTGCCTTTCTCAGCCCCCCTGGATGAGGGGGTGAAGTAGGCCTGGCAGAGGGCCTGGTTGGCCCCGGTGGGTGGGGGTCCCGGCTGGCGCACAGCCTTCGGGCCTCTGTCTCTGTCGGGACACTGGGGGGGGTGCTGCCAGCCCTGCCCGCTCTTGGTCCCGTGCCAGGTCCAGGGGCTGGGGGGCTGGGGGCAGGGAGAACTCACCCCTGCCATGAGGCCCCCAGCCTCCCTCACGGTGGCTACAGCACCCAGCACGGCTCCCAGGGTCAGGAGCCCGGCCAGGCTGACGCTGGTGCAGAAGGCTGGGTGGGGAGAGAAAGGAGGAGGTCAGGGATGCCCAGGACGGGGCTCCCAGTGCACACGGCCCGTGTCTGAAATCTGACCCAAGGGTACACCTGGGGGGTGGGCTTCTGGGAGCTCTGAATAGGTCCACGCACCCCCTCAGGCAGGGATGTGCCACCCACCCCCCACTCCTGCTCCTCCCAATGCTCAGAGGCCCCAGGGAAGGAGGCCCCAGGCCCTGCCCCCCACTTCTGCTTCCTGCAGCCGCCCGGCCTATCTCGGAAGCCACCAGGCAAGTGCGGGGTGTCTTATCAGTCCAGGCTCAAGACCCAGGCTTCCTGCTCCAGGATTCGGGCTTCAGGGCAAACACTGGGGCCTGAGGGGCAGGAGGCCGGGGCTGGGACCACGGCCTGACCCTGTGGGCCTCAGCTTCCCCCACGGCTGCCCTCTTTGGCGTCCCGTGCTCTTGCCTGAGACCAAGCCCCCAGAGTGCATCCGGGCCCGGGCCCCTTTGATCTGGGGAAACCCCCTGCAGGACATGAGGCCGTCTGGGTGCCACGTGCCAGTCCCACCTTTTCCCGGGCCCCCAGGGGAGGACGGGAGACCTGGGGAGAAGCAGAGGCTGTGTCCCAGACCCCCCGCTCCGCCCAGTGGAGAAGGACCCCGGGGCCCTCTCTACCCCCACCCACCGTGCAGCCCAGCCTGGCTCCACTAGGAGCCCCCACCCCAGGAGGGAGGAGGTGGTGAGTAGAGAAGGTGCCCACATAGGGAGTGAGCTTCCTGTCTTGGGAGCATGCAAGTAGAATCCTGCCCCAGGCTTGATTCTGGGAGGAGTGTGGGAGACAGGATCTAATCTGAACATCAGCCCCGGATGGCTCCCCACGGCCTTTGCACCTGAGCCCCCTCCCCGACAGCACCTCACTTACCCCAGCGGCGTGTGGCCTCATAGGGGGTCCTGTCCAAGGATGCGCGGCCGATGACAGCAAAGTGGGCCCCGAAGTAGCTGATGGCTGCCAAGGTGGCCATAGAGAGGCCCAGTAGCTGGGGATGGGGCAGACCCGCGGTGTGGGGGCAGGGCTGGGCGCAGACGGGGCCCCAGAGAGCGGGGTCTGGGTGTCCTGGGCCCCCGGGCCAGCCTCCCTCGGCTTCATGGTCTCACTTGAGAGGCTCACCTTGTCCCAGACACCCCGCTGCACACACAGACACACCAACAAACACACACACCCCACCACGCTACATGCACCCCCCACCCTCCCTGTGCCACATGCCCCCCCACATGTACATGCACATTCATTGTTCAGCTGCTGCCAGGACCCAGAACCTTGGGTCATTCTGTCTGCACAGCAGAGGATGCCCCCTCCCACCCCCAGCAGCCCCCTCCCCCTGCCCCCTGCACCCCTCTGACCGGCGCTGCCTGGCTGGGCCCACGGGGGCATCCTGCCCCCAGTCACCTGCCAGGAGTCCGTCACCAGGGGCCCCAACTGCATGTCCCAGGGGCAGGATAGGGACAGCCGGGCTGGGTGGGGGAGGGAGCCACAGTCCCAGAGGTCCAACAGCATGGCCCACCCCCCCTTCCCACCTGACCAGCCTGTTACCAGGACAAAGAAGCTGGTGACCAGCATCTGGCATTTGGCCACCCTGACTCGACTCCAGGACCGCATGGTGGCCTCCTCTGGGCCCGTCTCCTCTCCCCTCCTTCCCTCCTCACCCCACCCCTCCACGCCCACTGTGGTTTCCAGCTGGGCGGGGGCCTCTGACCACAGCTGCCCGCCCAGGGGGTAGGTTGCGTCCTGCATGCCCCTGGGTTTGTCAATGCACCCGGAGAACTGAGCCTCTGGCTGCCCCGGAGGACGCAAAGGCAGGCAGGGGAGGGGTGGCGAGGCCAGCTCCTGCTGCGCCCTGCTGTCCCCCGGCCCTGGCCCAAGGCACCACGACCTCTGGAGGGGATCTGAGGCCTTCCCCGAAGAGCAGCCTTATTCTTGGTGTGGCCTCAGAGCACATCCTGGGAGGAGGTGGGAGGAGGTGGTGAGTAGAGGTGCCCGCGTAGGGAGTGAGCTTCCTGTCTTGGGAGCATGCAAGTAGAATCCTGCCCCAGGCTGGATTCTGGGAGGAGAGTGGGAGACACGATCTAATCTGGACATCAGTACTGGCGTGTCATCTCGTGAAACACCATTTGAAATGTTCTGTGATGACGGTATATTTGGAAAGGGAATTTAATTTTCAACGCCTTCATGGCACAAAGGAGTGATTTGGAGCGGAGCCATCTTGGGGGCACCGGGCAGCAACGGAGCCCTGGTACCACGTACCCAGCTGGGAGGCCAGGGAGGCTTTGTCAAAACCCGAGTCTGTAACTGAATGCTGCCAACCTGAGGGTGAGGCAGGCCACAAACTCACGTGGGGCCGTGTCCCCCGGAGGGGACATGTGGGGAGGCCACTGTCTGGGGTCCGGTCTTGGCCAGTTTGTACCACGGTTTGTACCACACAGCCACTGCTGTGCTGCTCAGGGAGGCGGGGCAGGGGCTCCCCTCTGTGCTGGAACGGCTCCCTCCCTGTGTCTCTGGTGTGGGGTCCCCCCTGGACACTCGGGACCTCAGCAGGGGAGGCAGTGCCCCCGATAGCTGCTTTCCTTCTGGAAACCAGCCGCTCCGGCCATCTCCTCCCAGTCCCTGCCAGGAGCAGGGGCAGCCGGGACCCCTCCGCCATCGCAGCACCCCTAGGCCTCCACTCTGGCCCCAGGAGCACCCCCAGGGTCTGCAGGAGCACAAGGGCCTCTCCGATGCCACGTGCCTGTGTGGCACCGCTCCAGAGGGAGCCCAGGTGTGACCAAGGGGCGGCAGGGGGGAAAGCGCGTCGGGGCGCGGGCCGTGCGGCCGGCCAGCTGCACGCTCTCTCCGCGGAGACGAGCTGCTCGCTGCTGTCACTTTTCTCCAACTTTGGCAAGAAAGATAGCGCCTGGCAGCCTCTCGAGACGCAGCGAGGCGACCCTGCCCCTCCCAGCCCCCCAGGCGCCTCCGCACTGAGGTTGGAGAAGGGCTTTCGGGGCCGGGCCTGGGCTCCCGCCTCGCCCCGCTAAGCGCACACTGCACACCCGGCGCTGCCTAGATGGCCTCGTGGGTCCTCCCCTAGGGGCGCCAGATCCCTCGTGGGCAGGAAGCGAGGCCCCCCGGCCGGCCCCTCTAGGGGCTCTGACCACGGCCCCCTCTCCCCCTACCGCATGTGCCCCGGCGATCCCCACCCCTCAGCTGCCAGAGGAAGGGCATATGGAGAAGCCCCCAGCCCCCCTGGCTATCGGCCTTCAGCCACTTGCCCGTCTCCTGCAGGCTCCGGGGCGGCCACTGGCCTGCAGGAGCCGCGAGGGGGCTTGACACCGACCCCCGAGGGCTGGCCCTGTGGGACACTGTCCCCGCCTGAGCCCCTCGGACCCCGTCCTGATGGTCAGGCCCCACCGTGAGCCAGCCCGCGCTGCCTCCTGCTTTCTTTTCCACGGACGATGCTGGGCGCACGTGGGAGCACTTGCACACGTGTGTGCGTGTGTGTGTGATATGTTATTTGCTGGCCAGCGACCTCCTTTTTCCCCCCTCCTTCCCCACCTCATCTGGTAAGTAATTGGGTCGTTGGAAACTGTTTGTCACAGGAGCTGACTGAGTGCTCCCAGTGGCCAGGGCTGGGACAGCAGAGACCCCGCTCGGTGGCTTGGTGCCGGACGACGGCCCGATAGGGTGTCACACAGACACCCAGGCGCCCATGCTGGGCAAGTAGCCCACGGATGGAAAGGGCGACAAGCCAGGACACCCGCCGGCCTGGAGAAGCCCAGACACTGTGTGCAGGTGCACTTTCATGGGGGGTCCAGCCCCCACCCCTCGGGCGTGGCTGTCACAGCAGTGTCCTTCCGGAGACCACGGATCGGCTGCACCTGACGCGCACCTCCGCCAGGTGAGCAAGGCCAGCGTCGTGGGGACCAGTCAGGTGGGGAGCAGGAGCCCGGGAGCGGTGGGGCGGCCAGGGCGCCTCACCCTGTGGCCCTCCTCCCAAAGCCACAGCCCCGTCTGACCGTGACACACACACCAGACAGACCCCAACTGAGGGGCACCCCACAACGTGCCTGGCCTGGCCCCCTCGGAACTGTCCGGGTCATCAAAAACCACCCAAGACCCGGGGACTAAATGTCCTGTGGTGCCCTGGGTGGGAGCCTGAGCCAGAAGCAGGGAGTCAGGGAAAACCAAGAACTCCGAACAGGGGGTGGACCTTTAGTGAACAATAATGGATGACAGTCATGGATGCGTGTGACAAATGTCCCATAGCCGTGGCAGATGCTGCTGCTCGGGGAAACCGGGCGTAGAGTGTGTGCCAACTCTCTGCACTATCTTTGCGACGTTTCTGTGAATCTAAAGCTGCCCCACAATGACTCTTACTTAACAGCCTGGTTATGTCCAGCACCCCAGTCTCACATCACAGGGCTGGGGGGGGGCAGGCACGTTGGTGCTGGCTCTGCCTGTCCACTCACTGGCCATGAACTCTTCTCCCCGCGCTTACCATCCCCCCGTCCATTAACTGCTCATCCACCAAGACTGCCACCTGTTCAGGGATGCCACCTGCCCACCTGCCTGAACACTCATCCACCCACCTGCCTATCTGACCACCTGCCCAGCTGCACACCTGCCCAGCTGCTCACCTGCCCAGCTGTTCACCCACCTGCCTGCCTGCCCACCTGCCCACTTGCCCACTGCCCACTTGCCTGCCCACCCACCTGCCTGCTCCTTCAGCCATCTACCCTTCATCACGTGTTCCCTCTCACGCCCTCTCACTCTGTTCATTCATGCAGCTGCTGTGTGCTCAGTCTGCTCTCTGCCTGCTGCCTCAGTTTACCTGGGACCCAGGTAACAGGACGTTGGCACTGAAGCAGGCCCTTCCCACCTGTAGGTTGCTTCCCTGGGGCCAGGAGGTGGCAGCCTCTCCCCTCCTTCCTGATAGCTGCCCAGAAGGAGGCCTGGGAGAGGCCCCTGCCCCCCATCAGGGACGAGCAGAGGCCTGCGGGCCTTCTCCACCCAGGGGGGGCGCGCGGGTCATCGCCTCAGTGCACCTGGGGTCCCCGTGAGCTCATCGCCTTCTGACTGCCCTGCGTGTGGGGCCCTGCCAGCTGGGCCACTCACCGGGGGATGGGCTGAGAGCCGTGAGACTGCCAGGGCCACACGCAGACCTCAGTCCAGCCTCCGGCCTTCTCTCTGCCCTTTGCCCTGATTCCAAAACTGTTCCCAGCAGCCCAGACGTGTGCCCACCTGAGGCAGCTCCTCCCGAGCCTGGACAGGGGCGGGCGGCTCTCCTTCCCCATCGCCTGACGTCTGGGGCAGCTGAGTGCACCACGTCAGACCCGCACGGCCCCAGGAACCCCACATCCCCTGGGAAGGCCACCCCAGGCTGGCAGGGCACACCCGGGCTCAGGGCTCTGGGCGCTGCCCTGTTGCCTCAAGATTCTGGGACAGAGCTTGTCTTGCCCTTGAAGGGGTGGGGTGGGCCTCGGGATGGCTGCACCCCTGCACACACACAGACTTGTGTCCATCTCAAAAGTGCCAGAGGCGGCCTCCGGAGGGCCATGCGAGGTCCCGGGCACCACGGAGACTCTGCCCTGGCCACCTGGCCCCCCAATACCTGGTGTCCGGTGACAAAAAACGCGGACAAAGGGCTGGAGGCGTCAGGCTGTGGGAGCAGGATGTCCAAACCCTCCCAAGGCTTCCCTGGGTCGGGCTGGGGGCCAGCAGCCCCTGCCCCGGGCCCAGGCCTCACCAAGGAGTGTGGACCCGACGCCCCCACCCGGGGGTGCCCAGCCCTCCAGCGCTGGGGCACATCCACACCCCCTCCGGGGGCCCCGGGGCCCCCTCTCCTCCACCCAGTCCCCCTCCGGCTGCAGATCCCACGTGCTGGGGAGGCCCTCCGATAGGCCCTCTGGCTCCCGGGGCAGGCAGGTCAGGGTCAGGAAGGAGGGGACAGCGGAGTGAGGGACGGGAGAGACAGGACTTCATCTTTAGGCGGGAGGCTCTGTGCCACACCCTGCAGGCTGAACGCCGGGCCCCGATTCCCAGCAAAGCCCGGGCCCCAGGGTGGTGGGGCAGGCGGGGCCTCTGGGGGGAGGTTAGGGGCACGTGAGGGCGTGAAGGTGGGGTCCCCCGACGTGCACACCGGGAAGGGGGGTTCACCAGGAATGCGAGCAGGGGCCCCGCCTCGGGCTCGCAGCCTCCAGAGTCGTGAGGATAAGCGTGTGAGGTTTAAGTCCGCACCTGTGGTGTCGTGTGGCCGGGGCCCCAGCAGGCCAGTGCCTCGGCCACCGCACGTCCACCTCTGAGCCAGCGCTGGGGAATCCAGTGAACCAAGCAGGTGTGGCCACCGGCCTCGGGGGACCCATCCGGGCTGGGAAAAACCCAGGAACGCTCAGGCCGGGCGGGGTGAGGCTGGGGTGGACCTGGGTCCTGGGGGCAGACGCACAGGCATGTGGGGGAGGCGGTGGGAACAAGAAGGGGAGCGGTCACCTCCTGGCAGGACCTCCGCCCAGTTGTCACCTGCCTATAGGACACACAGTCTGGAAAATGTTGGGGACTGTCCAGGTGGCAGGGGGGATGGGGACCAGAGGCAGGAGACAGATGGGCTGGAGGCCTGGGTGGGGGCAGGCA